CTGTCCCGGCTCTGTCCCTGCTGTCCCCGCCCCGCCGGCTCCTCAGTCGCTGGCGCTGCCCTCGCTGTCCGAGTAGGCTCCCAGCAAACCCAGCGAGGACGTGGCTGCTGCTGCTGCTGCTGGTGCTGCTGGTGCTGGCAGGGAGCCTGCGAGGGGAGGGAGGAGAGGATCCTGTCAGGTCCAGCCCCCCCAGGGCCATTCCCGGTGGGAACTCCATCCTGGCTGCAGAGAGCCCGAAGGGAGCCTCGTCCCTGGGGGGACCCTGAGGTCAGGGAGGATAAATCAGGTGGATAAAGAGCTCCTGCAGCCCTCCCTCCTCCTCCTCCCTGCGGGAAGCACCGAGGTCTGGGACCCCCTTCTCCCTCTCCACAGCCCCCTGGAGATTCCAGAGCCTGGAAAGGGAGAGAGGAGCCAGCTCTGGGCTCCCACCACCCCAGGGGACAGCAGCCAGGAGCAGGCTGGGGAAGCACAGGGAGAAGGGGACACCTCCAAGAGCTGTCCCTTCCCAGGGATCCCCCGAGGGCAGGGGGACTCACCAAGCCAAAGGCTTAGGATCAACCAGCCCACAACAAATCCATCCTCCATGTCCTTCCCCAAACCCACGGCTCCCCTGGCTTGCTGGGCAGCTCACTGAGGTGCTGGAAAGCCTTCCAGCTTGCTTTGTGGTCCTTGAAGCTCCCCAGCTCCAGCAGTTAGGCTGGATTTATCACCAGGCCCCAAAGCAAAGCAGCTCTCCTGCTGTTCCACCCCTATCTCGCTGTTGTGACCTTCCCAGGGCTGTATCTGCTGTTGTGAAGCTCCTGGCCCTGCCAATCTGTCCCCAAGGCCGTGGCTGAGAGCCAAGAGCCAGGAAGGAGTCTCACCTTCACCAGGAAGCTCCTGGAAAAGGGAACAACCCCCTGTTCTCACATCATACCACCAGGGACCCCAGCCCAGGCTCTGAGCATGGAGCCAACCCCACTCAGGATCTGCCTGAGCCCCCCAGGGACCCCAGCCCAGGCTCTGAGCATGGAGCCAACCCCCTCAGGAGCTGTCAAAGCCCCCCAGGGACCCCAGCCCAGGCTCTGAGCATGGAGCCAACCCCCTCAGGAGCTGTCAAAGCCCCCCAGGGACCCCAGCCCAGGCTCTGAGCATGGAGCCAACCCCCTCAGGAGGTGTCAGAGCCCCCCAGGCCCAGCCCGGGGCAGGTACCGGTGGTGGCCGTGGTCCCTGGGGTTTCCATCCTGTTATCCAGGGCAGGATCTGGCTTCTGCTTCCTGGGGGCCACCAGCCCTGCCAGCTGGGCCCTGGTGCTGAGCTTGCCCACGCTGCGCTCCCAGCTCTCCGTCCTTGGCCTCTTGCTCTGGGGCTGGGGGTCCTGTGGGCACAGCCAGGGTCAGGGGGCTCCAGCTTGGAGGGGATGTGGGGGGATTGGGGATAAAACCAGCAGAGACATGAGAGGAGGGGTCTGAGGGGGAATTCTGCAGGGATGGCACAGGCTGGACAAACAGGGATGTGGATCTGCAAAGCTGCTCCTGGAGATCCATGTCCCACTGCCAGAGACCTAAACCCAGCCTTGGGATGGCCCTGGGATGCTGAGGAGGCAGAGAAAAGAATCCCAGGATGGTTTGGCTTGGAAGGATCCTAAAGCCCATCCAATCCCACCTTTCACTCAACCAGGTGCCTCCAACCTGACCTTGGACACTTCCAGCCACAGCTTCTCTGGGCAATCTGTTCCAAAGTCTCCTTAAATCCAATCCAACCCTCCCCTGCCTCACTTCCAGACCATTCCCCCGTGTCCTAGTCCTCCCTGCCTGGGTAAAAGTTGTTTTCTCTCTGTTTTATCAGCTCCTTTCAAGGCCACTGAGCAGCCCCGGGTGCCTGCAGGTGGCCCAGCCATGTGCCCCGGGCACAGGGATTAGTGCCAGGCCAGGGACCACGGCTGGGATTAACCCCAGGCACGCAGCTTTGATCCAGCCCAGCTTTGATCCAGCCCAGCGACAGGGGGCCCTGGGGCAGGGATGACAGCGGGGGAGGGCAGGGCTGTTTGTGGGGACAATCCCTCCTCTAGCACAGGGACAGCAGGGCTGTTTGTGGGGACAATCCCTCCTCCTTGAGCCCAGGGAGGGCAGGGCTGTTTGTGGGGACAATCCCTCCTCCAGCACAGGGAGGACAGGGCTGTTTGTGGGCACAATCCCTCCCTCCAGGCAGGCTCTGGGAGCTCTTTTGTTCTGCCTGAACCCACAGCAAAGCCCAGGGAGAGGCTGGCCCAGCCTGAGGCAGCAGCAGGGCCCAGCAGAGCTCTTCCTCGCCAGGAAGGGAGGATGGGGACAGCTCCATCCCTGCCTTTGTCACCAGGCCCAGCCTGGAATCCCCGGGTGATCCCTGGCTCCTCTCAGCCCTTTGGGAGCTGCTCAGGCGTGACACCAGCCCGCTGTCACCCAGAGCAGGGACACAAAGGGCACACACAGCTCCAGGACAGAGCCCTGGGGCTGGGGAAGGGCAGGGCAGGCTGTGCCTCTCTCACCTCCTGCAGGATGTCCGTGGGTTTTGTCTGGGCCGTGGGGTTGGGGCGAGGTTTTGCCGGTTCCTCGTCGGAGTCGGAATCCACCAGGAGCCGGCGGTTCTGGGCCTGTTCCAGCATGGCCCTGCAGGGACACAGGAGGCTTGGAGCTGGATCCACCCCCCTGCCAGGCCCTGCTTGCTCCAGGGGGGCTGGGGGCAGCAGAGGAGCCCCGGGATCCCCCTCCCCAGGGGGTTCTATGGGATTCAAGCCTGAGGCGTGGTGGGATCTGCACTGGGATCTGGAGCTTCACCCCAGAGCAGGAACTGTGGCCATGTGAGGGCACTTCCCAGAGGACTGGACCCCCCCAGCAGCCCAGATCCCACAGAATCCCAGCCTGGCTGGCTTGGAAGGACCTCCCACTCCTTCTCCCTGAACACCTTGCCAGGACAGGCTGGGATCTCCTCCCACCCCCCAAATCCTGGTAACTCAGCCCCCCTGTCCCAGCCCAGCCTGGCTCATCCCGCTCCCAGCCCTTCCAGCCCCCTCACTTCATCTCCTGCTCATCCTCCTCCTGCTCCTTGCGCCTCTGC